AGCTGTCAATAAAAATTAGAGACAATGGTAGAATAAATCCCAGTAGTGTCGACATATAGGAGCCTCAAGAACTCGCAGTGGCAATCTCAAATGTGTGCTTGGTTTTTAAAGTGAACCATTTAGCAGCTTCCCATTGTTCTCTAATCTGAATAGTATATTTACGTGGAGCACAGACATTTCTAGCAGTAGACAAGATTAGAAACAGAGCTATCAAACTAATTCACCTTTCCCAAACCTGTCATATATACAGCCAAGAAGATACAACATTAAGCTGTGCCGTGTGGTTTTGCTTGTTAGTCATGGGGCTTCCCAGATACAGACAAAGGGATGAGCCTCATGGAAGAGTGTGGGGAGCTCTTCCCTCCCCCTCCTCCACAGATAACAAGACACTGACATGCACCACTCACTGCCTGCCAGCTGCCTTTTGTGAACCTGACCCTAACCTCACAGGTGACCCAGCCACGATCTCACAGGACTCTGCCCAGAACTTCAGCGGCAGTGTACTAATTCATGAGGTAGTTCACTGTGCCTTCAGAAAGTTCGAATGGTTAGAAAAGACAACCACATTGAGCTAGAGATTCTTTAGAATTGTCAGATCTGAGTTAGGAATTCCAAATGGGCACAATTTAGATTGTGTTTGAGGTGAGATGACAGTCTGGTCAAAACCAGCGTGTGCTGCTCCCCTTGGTCACTTTGTGAGTAGCTGATAGCCTGAGGAGGGAGGCTCAGCAGAACTGGCCATCACCACGCTTATGTGTAAGGTCCTTTCAAGAAGGAGATTTGTCTTCTCTTGACGTGAATAGTAGGCTGGATTTTATCTTGACTGTCTTTCGTAATAAAATCTTTCAGAGATATTCAAAATGGGTCCTTTCATACCGCAAGTAATCTCTCCCACTTCCCCTAGTAATTTCAGAGTGAGTTGGAGTTAGATGGATGGTACAAGGCCATGGTTCCTCGGGGCCTATCTCTAAAGGGACAGCAGAGCCAGAGCTAGAATGGCCTTTGCAGGGACATGTTGGGAGCCAACCTCGAGCTTTGCATGAGTCCACCACCTTACAGATCATGCCTCTGCAGCAGAACATAGCCCCATTTCAGGAGATGGCAAGAGGAGCCTCAGTGTTGGGTTAATCAAGTACAAGTGACAGTGACCGAAGTCCTAAGTGAGGAACAGAGCAGCATGCCTCCTGCATCCCCTTGGGAACATGCCTGGAGTGAATGCCCGGCTCCATCCTTGGTCCTGGAAGCACTTTGTACCTATGCAGGTAGGAAGGATACCCCCAACAACAGGACATCAGTGTTTGCCCGGAGGCCAGCGGCTTCCTTTGACCACTCCTACCACAGAAAGAGCAGCAGGTCCCCCTTGTTCCTCAGCTTTCCACACTGACTCCCACATCTCCATTGCTCTCCCCCACTCTCCAGACGCAGGGACCTCTTCCTAGGGACTCACTTTCTAAGTCTTGCAGCAGGTCACAGTTGCTCGTGGGCCCTGAGAGCTGCTGGGGCAGTGCTGCTAGAGGGCCGAAGGCTATGTCCGGTGAGCTTTGGTTGTGGAGAAGCCGGTGGCTTTTTACAATTAGAGAAATCCATATACTGTGCAGTTCACCGGGGACATTGCAAGTAGTTTTTATAGTAAAACATGAAATTTGCCATTTTAACCATTTGGGGGCACTGGTTGTCACCATTATCTATTTCTAAAAATTTTCTATCATTCCAGTCCAATATTCTATATCCATTAAATAAGTTTACATTTTTTCTCTGCTCACCCCCTAGATCTCTGTATCTGTAATCTATTTCCTTTTTGTATGAGTTTACCTATTCTAGACATTTTGTGTGTTGAATCATGCAGAATTTGTTTCTGGCTTATGTGATCCTTTCAGGGTTCGTCAATGTTGTAGTGTACATCAGAACTTCACTCAAGGGGCTGGAAAGATAGTTGAACAGTTCAGAGCACATACTGCCCTTCAGTGGACCTCTGCTCTATCCCCAGAACCTGTATCAGGTGTTGGCCATGCTTACATTGCTGTGCTCTCTTGGGTGTTGTGAGCAGCACTGCTGTGGACATTGAGATGATAATCACTGTTTGATCCCATCTCCACTTCCTTTGATAATATGTCTAGAATAGAATTGCTGTGATAACTCTGGGTTTAAACCATTACAAGTGAGGAATTGGGTCTTCACTAGTTAAAATGGACCTGGGTCTGTTCATGTGAAGAGCTGCAAATATATGTGAAAGCTCATTCCTCAACTTCTTTTGGGTTTTTAACAGTTATCATCTGGAAGACTCGTGTGACAGTTAATCATAGATGGCTTTGTGACTCCATTATTCTAACTGGTTATTTTAAAACTTTTACTATTTAACTTGTCGTGTTGTTATACGGTCTCCCACTGAGCTTTTCGTCTTCTCGAAGACAGAGGCATGTTTCTATTTCTTTGTGCAGCTCTTCCCTACGGCCCTGACTAGAGTGCCACGATTCCAAATCACTGATGTGTCAGTTCTTTCCTGCCACTCTTGTGGCTCGGCACAGACTAGAGAAGAACTTCTTCAGCAAGCCCTTCCCTAACTCTCTGTGCCGGATGAGGGTTGTGCAGAGCTTGCTTTCCTGTGCTATCTCAGGTAGCATAGCTGAGGAGACCACAAGTTGAATATCCTTTACCCAAAAGGCTTGGGACAGCAGGCATGGTCTGCATGCCTTTAATCCTAGCACTCAGAAGGCAGTCTGGACTGCCGAGTGGAACCCTGTCTTTAAAAAAGGCTTGGGACAGGACCTGCACAGCTCTAAGCAGATGGGGCCCCAACACTGACAGAGAAGTGGACCCAAGCCCCTCTCCCTAACTCAGAAGCTGTTTCCACTTGATAACCACTCAGAGGAAGAATGAGTTCTCCAATGGCTGTGCAAACAGTCTCGCTGGCCATACAAACCACACTGACGGGGAGGTCCCATGCCCAGCACTTGGTGGCCAGCACTAAACACACTCAGTGGACTTCTATCGCATAGTGCTGTCTCTAGGCTTTTTTTTTTTTTTTTTACCTTGTAAGTCTTTTGCTAATATATTATGGTTTCTAATTTTGTATTTTTGTGGGATTTCTGGGGAGGAGGAACGTATCTCTGCATCTGTATGTGTTTCTTATGGAGTTTTTGGGGAGGGGGCTCTTCCCCCCCACACACTTTTTTGTTTAGTCCTATTCTGATTTGTTTGTGTGGTTTGGTTTGGTTCTTGGTTTTTAGTTGTCTAATGAGAAAGACAGAAAAGGTTTGAATTTGTATGAGTAAAGTGGTGGGGAGTATCTGGAAGAAGTTGGGGGAGCAAAAAACATGATCAGAATATATTATATAAAAAAATCTATTTTCAATAAAAATTAAAATTATTTTTTTTAAATATTTGAGCCCAAAAACATTTCAAATTTAAATTTTCCCATGCGCATATCTTCCAAAGGGAATTTTACACAATTATTTTTAGTATGCCTGTCATATCAGGTCAGACATGGGATTTCCCACTTGTGATACCATGTCAACACTCAAACATTTTTAGATTGGGGAGCATTTTTTAAATTTTGAATTAGGGAAGCTCTCCTATACAATAACAGTGATAGTTCACCTGATGAACTACTTACATGTGTCATGCAGTGTTATTGTCTCACCAAGTCCCAGAACAGCCTGACACAAGTTCTGTGGTTACCCATATTATTGCAGTGCAGACAACTAAATTCCTCAGAAATCGATGCTTCCCAGGACCCTGTCACCAGCACATACTAAAGGTAAACATCTGATTGAAAGCCCCACCAGGGGCCTCTGTCCTAAACCAGAAGAACAGGGTGTGTGGCCACGAGAGGAATAGCCCAGCCTGGCTTCACCAGGGCTGGGTCTCAGGAGAAGGGCCAGGTCCCCTGGCACCTTCACCCCACTGCCCGTCGTCCAGCCGCTGTAGGTCTACAGCCCTGCTGACCCTCTACTAGCTGTGCTTGAAAGTGCTCGCTTCCCTACTCTCCCTCAAGTGATAGAAACTTACATCATTGGAAAGTGCCTGGCTTGGGTCTGTGGCATTAGTCAAGACTCCTGGGATAGGAAGGTCATTGGGAACCCTATCAGATTCTATAAATACTGGGTTTTTTTCTCATATCAGATTAGCTGGAAAGTGGCCATCTTGTCTAGGCAATTGTTATTTCTTAAAAATAACTGATCTGTGTACAAAAATAGAAGAACATCCATTTTTAAAACCTTGCATAATATGCAGTAAGTTACACATCTGTCATCCCAGCAGCCTATCACCAAGCCACAGGCAGATGGAATCAGTTCCTAGAGGAACCACAGGAGCATAAACCTCTGAAAAGCAAGTGCTGGCCAAGAGCCACACTAAGCCAGCTCTTCCCTGTTCCCAGTTAGAAAATGAAGACGTGGGCTTGGGATCCACTCCCTAGTGGCATTAGCACACAAGAGACTTGCCTTTAGTACTCAAGACAGTACTGTCTCCTAACTTGGCCCAGAGGATAGGAACTCTGCAGGAAGGCCAGGCCATCCCTAAAAATGGGCACCCAGGGGTTCTAGGTGGCCTGAACACAATCACCCAAATCCAGCTCAATTTCTATTTCTCAGGGTTTCTGAATGATGATGCTAAGATCTTCAGAGCCTCACTCCTTCTATTCCTCCACCAGCATCACTGGATACCTCCTCCCTTCCTGCTTACACTCTGCTGATTCTCACAGGCCCAGAGCCCAGATTCTGGGCCATTTCCCTTCCAAGCTGGTCCTCTGCCTGCCTAGTTCATTCAGGTTATGTTTCCTTGCTTAGACAGACTCCACTTCTAGTGGTCAAAGGGGTTGCCACCAAACTCTACTGAATCTGCCACATGGGGACAGCCCAAGCCTATCTGATGGTCTCACTCGGCGTCAGTGTGCCCAGTGCCAGGCCCAGGCCTGCTCTGCCGGCCCCCCATGCGCTTGGGTGCTGGTTGTCTCCCCTCACAGCCAGCCCACAGTTCTACCTTCTCCTTTAACTTTGCAGCACAGTCTCCAAGCAAAGGAAAAACGTCATCAGCTGTGTCACAGTCCACGACTCCCCCTACTCGGACTCCTCCAGCAACACCAGCCCCTACTCGGTGCAGCAGCGGACAGGGCACAGCGGCGCCAGCGCCTTGGACACTAAGGGGGGCCTCGAGAGTCACTGTCCTGGCAACCCCCGCACCATCATCGTACCCCCTCTGAAGACCCAGGCCAGTGAAGTGTTGGTAGAAGGTGACAGCCTGGGGCCAGGTAACCTGGGACCACAGCGAACCCATAGCATCTCTGCTTTTCTTGTTTTCTGCTATTACAAATGCTAGTCCTAGTGAAACAGGAAGTACCTAATTATTTCAGATGATCTGTGTTGCACACAAGGTTCTGTTCAAGCAGCCACAGTGAGAGTCTGCCTGTACCGTACACTACCATCATAGTCTATAGAGAACATTTTCCTTGTGAAATTCTGGAAGCATGGCTGTCCTCATGGTGGCTCTGCTTCTGTCATTTCTGTCATTTCCTGTCAACTGGTTTGGGCATTGCTGACATCTTCCTAGGGCCCACTGGAGAGTGGGTGTCCTGTGGAGGAAGCACTTCCTCGGGGTTGCCATATGGGAGTCATGGACCTTTATCAGAACTTTTTCTTGGGCACAGAGATGTGAGCTGAGCACATATCTCTCAGCTTTGTTTAAAGAACTAACATTCTATCAGGCTTATTGTGAAAATTGAGCCCTAGCAGGAAGCTGGTGAGCTGAGCCTTCAGAATCCGCACAGTTGTTGTTCATCATGGTCTTACTCAGCAACATCTCTTCAGCATTTCCTTCACTTAGGCTCACATAGAAGAACTGGGAGCAGACTAAGCCAAAAGTGTCTGCATGTCCTGTCACATGCTGTCATCAGCCACAGTCAGGCCAGGGAGCGTCTTCATGTCCAGAAGGGACACACTGTCAAGCTTTGTCTAAACGTGAGAGGCTACCTCCTGTCTGTCACCTGACATGGCAACAGGAGACACCTGAGGTTACCTTGGAAGATGAGGATTCTTCTTTGCTGGTTACAGCTTTGCCAGGCCTGGAAGATACAGGCTGCTGAGGTACAGAGTAGAATTCAAGATGAGATCTCTAGGGACTTTTCCAGTCCCCTGGTGCAGCCAGCCTGTGACCAGCCCCCCTTTTTCACACCAAGAACTCTGCCTGAAAGGAAATGGAAACCAGCTTGGGCTTCTTTCTTCCTCACCATCTGACTAGGGGTGACCCATGTGTGGTATGCTCACAGGCCTTCTTGCCAAGCACTCTCCATGACCATGACTTTAAAGGTATCCCAGCTACCTTCTTCAGAAGACAGGCTCGGTAAATACATCTGCCTGGCACCCTGCCACTGCTGCTCATTTTTATATCCTAGCTGCTCCCACAGCCTATGGAGTTGATGCTAGTTACAGAGTTGATGCTCTAGGGCTGAGAAGCAGAGTGTGGGGCCCAGAGTGCCCTGGCTAAGAAATAACATGAGGGGATATGCATATGGAATGAACCCTACAAGGACTCTCTAATCAACTAGTCTTCATAGTAACTCTAGAGCTACTATGATTTCCAAACGAAGGAACTGCAAGAGCATAGGGGTTCTCAGAATAGCCCAGGGCCATGCAGCTGGCCTCTCACGATCTGCTGCTGGAGCTTACCCGTGCTCTAGCACATTTGTGCACACACTGCTTGAATGAGGATCTGTTCCCTCATGGCCACAGAATCTACATTAGGATAGTGATGGCCCCCTGCCACCTCATTCACCTCTGCCAAGGAAATCACTCCCTGAATCTCTTGACCCCTTCAGGACCTTCCCGCATTCAGGGCTCTTCCACTCGGACAGCTTGATCAGCTCAGACACGGTCTCCTCACCTTGTCATCACAATAAAGGTACTAGGTGAACACCAGACTCCTTCCAATGTTGACATTTAGCAGACCCAAGCTGTAGATTCCTGGAACTAATTGATTCTACCTCTAACATAATCCCTACAAAGTTCCTAGGATGCTGAACTAGAGCAGAGATCTGCCCCTATCTCTCAATCCCAGCACACAAGCTCCTGGTGCCCAAGAGAAAAGGCAGCTCTGTTGACAGCCAAGGCATGCGGCTTTGTTTGACCCCATAGCTAGTCCTCAAAGACCCAGGTTTGGGCTGGGCTTGGAGAATCTCACTGGTTTAGCTTGGGCACTGAGTCCTAAACGTCGTCTGCTCCACTAGCGCCTGGCTGCCTCTGGATTCCTGGGAAGCTCAGTACACCAAGTCCCAGGCACCTCCTGAGGGACTTTGATGCCGTGGGTAGGTGGGAGAAACCTTGGGTGCCATTGCACAGTTAGATTTAGGGACCTCTTTCTGGGACCCACCATCTCCCTCCCAGAAAATCAGATCTTCCTTTGCTTGAGGCTGGGAGTCTCTTGAGAGGTAGGATGGTCCCTCTGCCTTCTGCACATGCCACAATCTGCTGTCCCCAGGTTTCCAGTTTCCATTTGTCCTTCTCCTGGAACCAGTGCCTTTGATGGAACTCTTCTGCCATCATTGGTGGTCCACAACACTGACTTCATTGCCCTGGAATTTGTCAGTCCAGCCCAAGTCATTCAAAGGCCCCATCTTTTCTTATACATGTTCCTTAATGTGTAGTGCCATCTGTCCTAAGAATGAGGTAGAGACCTGTATCTTAGTCAATTCCAGAAACTTGGTAAAGGAAATGAATCATTAACTACAAGACACAATGTGACAGTGCTCAGATGTACTTGGACTGGTGGAGATGGGGAGGCTTACTGCCCCTCTCTCCCCCCTTGAGCAAAGCCCTCCTCAGACTTGTTAAGAGAATCAGCACCACCTTTGTGCACATGTCTCATGCAGCCCCTCTCCCAGCTGGCATCACATTCCTGCCTAGACTGGACTTGGTTGGCCTGGGGCCGTGGGAGGCAGGCAGTCCTTCAGCCTCCAAACCAAAGCCTTGTCTTCTCAACTAGTTCTTCTGTGTTCTTTAGCTCTCAAGAGCACAGTTAACATGTTAGCTGTGGCTTTGAAACCAGATAACACCAGCAATACAATTCACAGGCTGCTTCTGTTCCTGCAGGCACTCTGATAGAACACAGAGGATGTGTCTGGGACCTTCTCCCACCCATGTTTGCCTAGGCTCTGCAGGTTTACACAAGACACGCAGGTTTACATCCTCTCACAACTGTCTGTCTGCTTATGGTTGGCTCTTGGGTATTGTTCAATAAAGAGGCTATAGCTGAGCCAGGTGTGGTGATGCACATCTGTAATGCCAGTGCAGAAGAAGCAGAGACAGGAAGATCCCCAGTTTGAGGGCGGCCTGGGTTACTTGAGACCCTATCAAAAATAAAAGGGGAGAGGAAACGGTTATGACCTGTCCATTTAGGTGCTCTTCTTTGCAAAGCATCACTTACTTTATTCAGGGGTTGAAGGTCTCACCCCTGCCCAGCTAGACAGTTCAGGCCTTTCCTACCCAACCATTAGTACCTCCCTGCATGCCCTGCCTCTGCCTCTTGCTTTTATGCTCTGTGATGCCTCCTGATTACCACTCTCACCCCATCTGTTCCTGGGTGGTACATGGTCACAGTGTCTGGCAGACAGCATGTACTTAGAACATACTGGTTAAAACAGCAGGCTCTAATAAAGCTCTGGGATCCCTTAGAGCCATCTAATATGGGTGTTGTCTTTCTCAATCTCCTACCCACTGAGGCTGTGGTCTTCCCACCCAGCAGCAACATCCAGAATACTAGAATGCAGACACTCATGCCAACCCCAGCTACAAGGCTGTACTCACACTGACCCAAGTATAGAGCTGAATCCTGGCTGGACAGAGTCTCTACATTGTCAGTAACATAGGAACAGTTGTTAATGTCAGCCATATTGGGTTCTCAGGCCATTCCCTAGGAGAGCTAGTCTCATCCTGCCTTGGGTCAGGAAAACTGCAGGGTTATTGTAGCTTCTGCTGTTCATCCTAGTTGTTTGTTAGGTCCAACCACTGGCATGATCACATCTGATCCTCTTGGCTACCTGGGAGGGAACCAAGCAAGCCTTCTTCCTTCCACAGACCTCCCAGGTATTGCTATGCACTTTCCCTAGCGGACCAGTGTGGGGCCCAGCTTGGACCTGTGCCTTTACCCTTGAATTTGTTACTCATATATCCCTCGTTTGCAGCTCCAATCCACCATGTAGCCAAGGGCTAGAGCCCAGCTGCCTCTCCAGAGTCAATGTGAATGCCTGACCAGGTTCAGAGACTGAGTGGTTTATGTCTGGGCAGTCTCAGGAACATGTCCTTCCTAGAAGGCCACTCTTTACAAGGGGAGGGAACGCATCTGCTAGACAGCCAAGGACATGCCACCTACCTATGACCTGTTCATCTTCCCACAGCAGTCAGTACCAGTCACCATTCATCCTCCTTCAAGTCCAAGTCCTCCAGCACCGTGACCTCCACCAGTGGCCACTCTTCAGGGAGCTCATCAGGAGCCATCGCCTACCGGCAGCAGCGGCCAGGCCCCCATTTCCAGCAGCAGCAGCCCCTCAATCTCAGCCAGGTAAACCCCGACAGCCACAATAGGCAGTGCCCTAAGGGGCCTTGATGGCTTATTCCTATGCTTAGACCAACCCTGGGAAAGGTGGTATCACTGGTTTGCAAAGAGCCAGCCCAAAGTCAAGTGATAGAGTAGTTAGTGACGTGGTGCCAGAGCTGACCTGCTGATCAGAGGGCCACATGGGCCCAACAAAGGGTGGGCATAGTGTCCTGCCATTGCTTTGGGTCCACAGGCTAGCCTCACTGCAGGGGGTCCTCACGGTCAGCACCCAGACCCATGGAGAGAGTACCCTGGGACTTGCACACACTCTCCAGTCATTTGGACTCTCTACAGGAGAGAGGGCTCTTTGGTTGGACTGGTTCTGGAAGTCGTCCCCAGTTTAGATTTCACAGCATGTGGGAAAGCAGTTACTACTCAGAGAGGGATCACTCCAGCCGAGCATCCCACTGGCTTTGCTCTGGACTGGCCAGATATCACCCTCGTCTGGTGACTAGCCAGTCAGACATTACTTTCTCAATCCACACAAATTTTTTTGCTCTCTGCTTTTGAAGGGAAATGGGTGTGGTCACTCTGGCTTCCCATTCCGTCTCCCATAGTTTCCCTCTTCCCCTAACACAGTCCCTCTGCTGCTTTTCTTCTCAGGCTCAACAGCACATGGCTGCAGACCGCACTGGGAGTCACCGTCGACAGCAGGCCTACATCACTCCTACCATGGCCCAGGCTCCTTACACCTTCCCGCACAACAGCCCCAGCCATGGCACTGTACACCCCCACCTGGCTGCAGCTGCCCACCTTCCCACCCAGCCTCACCTCTACACCTATACAGCGCCCACAGCCCTAGGCTCCACCGGCACCGTAGCCCACCTGGTGGCATCCCAAGGCTCAGCACGCCACACTGTGCAGCACACTGCCTATCCAGCCAGCATCGTCCACCAAGTTCCCGTGAGCATGGGGCCCCGGGTCCTACCCTCACCCACCATCCACCCCAGTCAGTATCCGGCCCAGTTTGCCCACCAGACCTATATCAGCGCCTCACCAGCCTCCACCGTCTACACTGGATACCCACTGAGTCCTGCCAAGGTCAACCAATACCCTTACATCTAAACACTGGAGAGGGCCCGCAGGGCGCGGGGTGGAGGAGCTCCCAGCAGACCTGGGGAGCTGGGGTTTTATACTGCAGGTGCCGCACACAGACAATGCAAATGGGGCAGGGAGGGGGGCAGCTGGGGGGGGACTTGAACTAGACGGGGAGGACTTAGGGCAGAGAAGAGAACGTTTTAAAGGAAGGGATTATGGAGTGGGAAATCTATGCTTTTTATTTTAAAAAAGAAAAAGGAAAAAAAAGAAAAAGAAAAATGTTAGTAACAAAAGAGGAAAAAAAGAAAAAAACACAGCTCACAAACCCATTCTGCACCAAACTGGAAAGGAAAAGAAGAGCTACAGGAAGATTCTGGAAGCAAGGGGCCCCAGTTTTTGAAGAACTTTATGAACTTTTTAAAGATTATTTTCATATGGCAGCAAGTGACATTGAAGAATTTGCTGTCAGGGACACCTGATACAGAAATCCAATAGATTTTTAATTAATTGAACATGAAAATTAGGGATTTTTCCAGAACTCCAAAAGGGTCAGCACCCCTTTCAAATGTCAGGCCATGGCCTGAGGAGGCTCATATTTGGGGATTGGTCTGGGGTTGACAAAGCCCAGTTCTGGCTCATTAGTCAGGAATAGTGGGGTCAGCCAGACTGATGGAAAGAAGACCCCTCAGGAGAGGGGTGGGTTTCCTCTTTTGGGGCATTCTGGATAAATCTCTAAGCAATGTTATTCCTCAGATGTCATTAATAATGTGTGTTGCAGTCTTTGATTTTTTTCTTTTCTGAGACTTTTTTTTTCTCTTTGAATCTACCCCTAGTCGTGTACATAGGGCTAGTGGTCGTCACGGACACCCTCGTAGAATGTAGCACTCTGCACCCTTGTTTCCTACCTTGTGTTCAACTCCAGTGATACCAATAGACTATTCCTCAATATAATTGCACAAAAAAGTGATATAACATAGGCATGGAACCAATGTGGTGGTCTAGGTGAACGAGTGAGTGTGCATGAGTGTGCACGTGTGGGTGTGAGCAGGGCTGCCACCCTCCCTGTGTGTCCCTTGGCACCGCCGTCACAGCCCTTGCAGTCTTGATTTTACATCATTCCCTCCTAGTGCCTTAACGACCGACAGACAGACAGACAGACAGACAGACAGACACGGTGAAGGGTTTACTTCCACTGGTACTCCAAGAAACTGGCTGGGGCTGGTCAGATACGTTCTCAGCTCTGTGTTAAGCTGTTAGAGTATTTTACTTGGGTCTTTTTGTTTTTGTATCATTTTAATGTCATGTGGATTGTCTTTCCTGGGCTCATTGTGAGCAGAAGGATTTTAAAGAAGCTTGCAGTAGAAGGGGAGGATCACGGGTCAAGGATCTTGATCAAGGATCAAGAGGGATGTGGAAGCCAGGTGGGGGCACACTGGTGACAGCTGGTTCTCTTGCTGAGCTTTACTCTGAGGGCAGAGGTCCAGAGAGACTTCCTGCCTGCCCTAGCTCTGCCTCATATGGCGTGCGGGGCTCTTAAGAATGTCAGCTTTGCCTCAGCCTCCAAGCCCACCACACCTCCTTCCTGGAGCCGTATGGGGAGAAGCAGGAGACCTGTTCCCATTTCTAGTTACCTCCCCAGGCCCACCCACCCTTCCTCCCTCCCTCCCTCCCTCCCCCCTCCCTCCCACAAGAAGCCTGATCCTCTCATCACACCCACACCTCTCTGCACCAGCTCCAGGGGCTGCAGTCAGACTGCTAGTGTGCCCAGCTCTCCCCTGCAGACCTCCACTGGTAAGTTTGCTGTTGCTTCTTTCCTGAAGTTATCCTAGGCCTCCCAACACACCTTGACCTCTGCTTTTGAGAGAGATACAGCAGGCAGAGGGGCTGGAGGGACATTTGGGAAAACACTCCCATGGACAATTAAGCCTCCAAAGAAGTCTGCCCTGAACCCTCACCTTTGCACCTTTGCTACATCTGGACGTTTTCTCCAGCTTTGAACAGTGAGGTGGGTAGGAATTTTGTATTCCTACTGAGAAACTCTGAAGCCATGGAGGGTGGAGACCAGTCGGGTCCAGGATGGGACACAGTAGCATGGTATGGATTGTTTGATCCTGGTGTGAGTCCTAGCTGGTCCCAATCCACATCTTCAGGTAAAAGGTCTCGTCAGCAGTCCAGACTCCCTCCCTGTCTTCCTTCTGCAGGCCCTGAGCAATCTACTGTGAAAGGCTTTCTTCATGATACCTGCCCTCCTTCAGTAACAAAGCTTACTTAGCTTTTAGCTGTGAAAAACTCTGGAAACTTCCCTACCCATCAGTTCTTATAAAGTCCCCAAACTAGGTATGTCTTAGTGCACCTTGGGCCAAAAAGAAGAGATGCTGGAGCCCGGCAAGGCCTGACCCACTTCCAGCCACGGACTTGCTGGAGGCATAATGAATGAAGCAGGCCTGGGGTAGGGAGCTGCATCCTTCTCTCTTCCTGCTCAGAACCATGTTAGCCCAAGACTGGCTTTAGCTGAAAGTGAGACAGAGGAAAAGTCAGTTCGAAGAGGGGTGGGGAGCAAAGTCTGTGGAGAAGCCCTGAGCTAGAGGCTCCCAGAGCCTCACCAGCATGGAAATCCATCTGTCGCAGAGTTTCCCGTGGGGCCTTCGCACTAAGTCACCAGGCATCTGGTCCTGACTGAGAGTGGGCCTGGCTTTGCCTCGCTGTGTGGCAGCATCCGGAGGCCAACGTGGTCTGGAGCTGGTCGTCTGGGGGAGGGGTGACTCTGTCCTCTCCTCTCTTCTCGTCTGCTTACATGGAAGCTTCTCACTATCCCCACTGTGTCCTCCCCTTCCCTTTCCAGATCAAGAGTGAGCGCCCTTGCTGCTCGTCAGGCTAGTATTCGTGTACTGACGGTTTGTGTGGTTGCCACTGTGATTAAGGTCATTATCACCTTGTTGCTCCTCTAGTCAGGGTTTGAAGTAGACATTTATTCCAAGTATCTGTGTCTTCTTCGTAATGTTGAAACTTACTTTATTATAGCTGTGAGTATGAGTAGACTGGAGGGCCATGCCGATGTCCAATCTCGTCAGAGGAAAAGAAAGAAAACAAAAGGAAAGGCCCAGGAATTAGGAACCGTGTCTGTCGTCTCTGCCCATAACTAGCTGTGAGAAAGGCCTACTGCAAAGCAGAGACCGGGCACTCGGGCCCTTCTCTGCGTGGCCCAGCAGTACACAGCCACTGTTGGGCCTCATCTTCTAGACCCTTTGGCAGCTTCTCCCATATTCTCTGCGCTTTCCGCCACGTCTGAACTACTGAACTACTGACCAGATTTTAGCCGGCCTCACATCTGACATTTAGCATAAAAGGCCCCTCTCAAAGCTGCCCTAACCCCTTTCCCGTACCTTCACTCTTTCCCATCAGCATACTTGGAGTGTGGCTTATCTCCCTCAATGCAGAGACAGTGGTCCCACCCAAAAGCCATTAGGTGTAGTGAGGGTGATGGGCAGTCGGTGCCTCCTCGTGAGATAGTTTTGTCTCATTCAGTCCTGCTCAGTTACCACCCTTCTCATTTCCCTAGTCTGCTTTGTCCCCAGACCTCCTTCCAGCACACAGTTCTAGGGAGCCAAGTCAAGGAATGGGACACAGGGGAGCCCCACACAAAGTCCAGCAGCTGCTCAGACACTGCAGGACCCCTTCTAAATCACTGGCAAGTGAAGGACACAGTGGGACTTGTAGCCGCCTCCCTGCTGGGCTCTGGCTCTGCCCGTCAGTGCCCGAAGTGTGGTGCTGGGTGTGTACACATTGTCCACTGTCACTCAGACACCAGGCCCCTGGGAAGAAGGACTGAAGCACTGGCTTCCCCAGACAGAAGACAGCCGCTGTGCAAACCTTCACCCGCTCCAGCGTTGGTCACAAGCCCCTGCACAGAGCTGACTCACCAGGAGTCACAGAAGACCCGCAACAGTTAGCGTCCTCACCCACCTTCCTTCCAAGGTGCTCAGCACCGATGCATCCATCCCCTTGACAAAGAAGAGGGAAGAAAGGCTGCCGTCCTTAGGACTCCGTACACTCTCAGTGGGAGGAGGCCCGCTTTGTCCTTAATGGACCGTGTGTCCCTGGTGCACCCTCTGGGCCCTCTCTAATGAATGAACACTCCTCAGCATGAGGAGGACGAGGAGGAAACACGACTGTGAAAACCTCCGCTGCTCGCTGGGTTCTTACTGACCATCCGGGCCTTAGCACCCAGGTCTCTGTGTTAGTATGTTGGGGTGATGTTTTAGGAGAGCAGATGAGCAGGCCAGTGGGTAGGCAAGGCTGGTGTTAGTGTCAGTTAACCCTGTGAAGTGGATGTGGTTGATGTGATTCAGAGGAGAGGGGGTGGGGTGGCCCAGTGTCCCCTGGACTGTATTCAGATTTCTCTCCTTCCTGGTGGCAAAGTTGTTTTCTGCTATAAAAGCCAACTTGGCTTTGTTCTCTTTGCCTCTAAGGACTGGAACTGACCGACCACAGTGTGGAGCAGGTCAGGAAGGGAGGCCAGCCCAGCAGAGAGGACCTCCCTGGACCAGGTCTCGGGAGTTGCAAACACTCTTTTTGAACAGTGTGGTGGAGGAGTGGGTTGGGTGATCGTAGGGAGTGGAGTTAATGTTGAGGAGGCTTAAGGAAGTATTACTGGTGGTTCATGGTAGTGAGGGTGATTGGGTCCTCACTCTGCCCCTCCCTCCCCCAGGTTCTCGTCGTCTGGCTGAGGGCAGGGGAGGGAGGGTGTGAGCATGGCTCTTGCTGGCCTGCCAAACAGCTGCTAGGACAAAAAACAAACAGAAGGAAATTGCTTGGTGCCCCAGCCAGCAGACAGAGTTTGATGAGAGGCAAGGTACCTTCCGTGGCCCGGCCTGAGACCGCACAACTCCCCAGCCAGCCATTAAACCACAGCACATTCCGGCCCGGGGCTCACAGGCCCTGCTCCTCACTCCTGTTTGTCCCTCTCTGTGCTTTGTAGATTCTTGAAGGGGAAGCCTCAGAATTAAGCAGGCCAGAGATGTCCTTACCAAATTAGAATGGAAAGTAAAATTGTCCCTTTCTGTAGCCAAAGAACCTTCTAAAGACACCTCTAGAGAAGAACAAATACCATTCATTCCCGTTCCCTTCTGGGCAATACTCTCTTCTCCTGCCTGCTCTTTGTACTTCACTGCATTTGTTTCAAAACCACTCATCTTTAAAGAGGAGTGGAGTAGTGGTCCTAAATGCTGCTGCTCCTGGGGAACCGAGGCCCCTACATCGCTCACATTTGTGCTTAATTGATCTCATGGTACAGTGTGGGCTAGAAAACCAGCAAGCAGACCTTCCCTGGGGACCCACACTGCACCCCCAGGCTTAGGCAGTATCTGTCCACTTGCCTAGTCTCTACAAGCAGTACTCAGACAAATCCATCAAGCCTCTAGAGAACCAAAGAGGGCAAAATGAGGCTTACTTAATTGCAAAAGAAACCTCATGAACACTTTGGCACTATGGCTCACTGTAGGGCCAACTGAGTCTTTAGGGCAGTTCATGAGAGAGCCCAGGCCGTCCCAGAATTGCCAGAAAAGAGATCCTGGCGGCTCCCTGTCACAGACAACACCCCCCCCCCAATCCTTTCAGGGTCCTACATCTCAGACCCATGCAGGAAGGAGAACATTACGCTGATTGCCTCTTGCTGCACACTAGTAGTACCCCATGTGTAAGGACTCACCAACATTTATTGAGTGTTCACAGTATGCCAGGGCCTGAGCATCCTCCCACATCCCAGCCACACACCCCTGGCAAGAGTCAGTACCCCATCTGACAGATGGAAAAGCTGGCCCTCTGAGAAAGTGGCATGTGTGGAAGGAAAAGTAGGATCCAGTTCAGAACCCCCAAGTTTTTTATCCTGTTTTGTTAATCGGCACTTTCCTCTATGAAATTTTGTTTCCTGTTTAACTAACTGCAGTGAGCAGCCTATCTCTAATGAGCCGTTCAGTGATGCTGCCTTCCCTGTGTGCCAAACACTGTGCTAAGAATTGTGGAATGAACCCCATGACACCAGCCATGTCAGTACCTGTATCGTACAGAGCCTGCAGCCTGCCCAGGCCGCCCTCTAGTGAGAAGGGGACCGAGGGCTCAATTCTGTCTGCGTGGCTCTAGAGCTGCGCTCACAGCCCCCAGCCTCAGCTGCATCCCTGTGTAGCACAGTCAGTCCTGGGCAGAGTCACGCCCTGTCTTCCCTGTGACTGGACTCCAGCAGGTCTGTGCAGAGGTTCCTGGACTGGATGCAGGTGGAAGAGGAGGAGTTCAACTTTAAGAAAACTCGGGGGTTTCTCTGGATTCCTAGAATTCCTTTCTAGCTTTAGTCACTAGTCACGCTGCTACAACTCTTAGGAGAGCGAAGGGAAAGTGTTCTTTTCTTTCAAAAAAATAAACACAGAAGATGATTTTTCTTGCTTAGAGTTAATCCTAGAAAGGCAATACTAAAAGTATATATATTTTTTTCCAAAATGCTATTTTTTACTGTACTTGATAAATATCTTGACAGCTCTGATCTCTGTACTAGACCCTCTATTCAGCTCTGGACAGAACCAGGAGCCAGGTTCACGCCAAATTTGTAAATACCATCTGGGTCTGTGTCCAGAAACTTTTTTTTTCTATGAAGAAACAAAAACAAACAAGAAGAAGAGGGGGAAGATGAAGGCAAGTTGGGAAGAGGAACAAAGTGGAGTTTTCTTGCAAGAGAGACCCTTCTCGGGGAGACGGACAGAGCATAGTGGAGCGAAGCATCCCAGCGAGGAGGAAGTGAGGAGGAGGTGCCTCTGGCTGCTGAGGCTGGGAGCATCACAGCCGCGGGTCAGTTCACTTGAGAGAGGACAAGAACCAGTCTAGAAGTGCTTGAGACTAGATTTGAACTAACTTCTTTAAGACTCTAAGTATCTGCTCAGTTGTTCGGTTGAATTTCTCGTTTCTCTTTTCTTCTAAAAATGTCTTTACTGACTGGCTCCAGGCTTGTTTGCCTAACTTCTTAGGTCGTTTACACAAGTTCTAAATTCTTGTAGAACTTTAACTCCTTTGGAAGCAAACCCAACTAGTGCAGACCTGAGATCCTGGTTGGTGTTGGTAGGTGTTCTGGAACTCCGGCAGAGCACCTGGCAATGTTTTCAGAAGGTTTTAGATACATTATCTTACACAAACTGTGACCTAATGGCAATAATTACCTCAAATGTGGGCATTCGTCCTGGTTTTAGCCTTTTTTGAAATCATGTAGCCAGCCTGATCTTGTGATTTAAAAGACTATGAATTCTCTGTGGGCTGAAAGTAAGGATGAATGTGTACCCTGGTCACTGTTGCCGAAGTGAATTCTGAGAATAGCTCATTGGTATACCAGAGGTGAAACCAAGGAAGAGATGATTCTTTGTGTCATAATCAATGTGATGTTCAAGGACGGGGAGAGCATGTTTCTTGCCCTTTGCTTTCCCCAGTAGCAAGTAAACTACGCAATTGACTGTCGATATTCAAGCATACTTTTGGCTACATTTTATAGTTAAAGTATTTTATAGTTTACATTTAACCTGGTACTTTTTAAAAGAAAATTGTTTATAACTGACATCTTCCACCACAGTGATTGATTGACTCTTGTGTTAGAAGCTGTGTCTCCCCAAGGCAGGCATGTTCCACTTACACTGTTCTGTAGCCCACTGTGCACGTTTCCTTTATTGTTGCTTTCCAGTGAACCTGAGAGAATGTGAAAGGAAGTCTAGAGGGAATGGGAAGGGGTGAGTCCTGAACCTGGGCCAGACGTAGAGGCCTGTGCCATGTTGTATCGACACTTGTTGTCAAGGCCTTCTTGACAGCATGGAGGGGGCAGTGAGAAGTGATCTCTGCTTCATCACTTCTGTCTTGATTTGAGTGCTTCCTCCGGGACTAGATCACTCACCTGGCAGTAGATGATGCTGGTTCTCAGCAGCTCTGAAGGTATGACCAGTGAAGCTTTGGTCAGCATTTTGAGAGGGAGAACCATACCCCTATGCCATGGGGTTTTCCACATATCACTGTTTTAGTCCTTTCTTTTTTCTTTTTTTCTTTCTTTCTTTCCTTCTTTTTTCTTTCTTTCCTTTCCTTTCCTTTCCTTTTCTTTCCTTTCAAATAAAACCCATGTAAAATGCTGTGTTCTTTCATTTCCCTATTGTCTGGCTAAGCTAGGAAACCCAGTTGAGAGGCCTCTGCTCACAGGTGCAGGCGCTTCTGAGCCAAAGGAGCTGGGGGTGGACAGTGAAAGACGGCCCATGGAAACTGGGTCTGCAGAGGGGGTTTACAGGGACAAGTGGGGGGCCACTGGTAGGCAGAAGACAAGAAAGGTCCATTTCCCTGACAGTTTTGTTGGGTTTGGGTTTTTTGAGGTGTTTTTGTTTTGTTGTGTTGTGTCTTTAAGACAGGGTCTCACCATGTAGCCCTGGCTGGTCTGGAACTCACTGTGTGGACTGAGTTTTGATTTTTCTTGTGCCACCACTGAACTGTGGAGAACCCATGGTGATCTATGGTGTGATGTGACCGTTCCTCTAGCAGACACCTTGAGAGCTGCAGCACACCGGCCATGCCAGGGTACCCGGAACTTCACCTCTGTTGGCTTTGCACCTGTGGCCAGTGCTGACAGCATGCTCTTGTGAGCTGTTAGAATGTCCTTACAGAATGTTCCTCATCTCACCCTTCTGAGCCATACTCCCAGGCTCCTGGTGTGTGTGTGTGTGTGTGTGTGTGTGTGTGTGTGTGTGTGTGTGTGTGTGTGTGTGTGTGTGTGTTTTCCTTTGCACTAATAAACCAAATGAATTTTGTGTCATTGTCTTTGGAGCTAACCCATGTTTTTAAAAATGAGAGGTATAAAAATGCGCTTTTCATTAATATTTGAAAAGTTAAAGTTACTGCATCTAAAGAAGGTCTCTGCTGTGGCTCTCTTTAGGGTCCTCTCAAACCAGCTTCCAAAATGGCTCTCTCTTGCCCCTCCCCCCATGCAGACTCACTGCTCCCATAGCCACCTCTGCCTCCCTGCTGTCACCACAGATCCATGCTCTGGCACTCAGCACTCCAGGAAGCTCCAGAGCCAACTAGCAGACTTGCTTAGCCTTGAGAGCCATGCTCCTGCCTCCCTGCGGGGCTGGTGGCCTGCGCATTTGCTATTAGTACTTCGGCTCAGATTAGGAGGAAGGACACAGGAAGTTTCAGGTGACTTGAGTGTGCCATCCTCTAGCTTTCTGTGACTCTGAGTGGAACGAAACACAAACACACACACACACACACACACACCACGTGCCCTTCAAAGCAGAGATTCTGTTCACACTGCCTCCAAGTCCGCTAGCCCCCTGCCCTTCCACACCCCTCTCTCTCTGTACTGCCCATTTGAGGCTGGCTTTCTTCCATGGGTTACCCAGGGCACAATCATTTCTCGCCCCCAAAGCCCCCTTCACCCCTTTGTGTGTGTGTCTTTTAACCAAATGAAGTTGACAAAGGCGGATGTTGGGGCTGCAGAATTCCTAGTGTAGTAGCAGCACTGTATAGATAGAGATGTTGATATATATGTTTGTGTATATATATATCAAGCCAAATTTCTGATAGGAGAAGTATAGCTTTATGGATGAGAAGGAAGAGGAACCCTTTAGAGGTTGGAGCCAGCCTCAGTGTGTCCAATGAGCAAGGCACATCCTGTTCCTTCACACAGCTAAGGCCTCAGCACCCAGCCCTTGCCGTCCACCTCACCTCAGCAGAGCTGGGAGACCGTGAGGGCTCTGTTGCTCTGCTGCTCCCTAGCCACAGAGGCACGGGAGAGTGGGGGGCAGATCAGAATGACGGGGTTCCCAGCCCATTTGCTCTGACCACATGTATTGAGCTGCAGCCTGATACTATATCACATTTCCAAAAACAAAAGGCACTGTGAAGATGGCGAGAGAGATCTGTAGCAATGCTTACCTTTCAGCCACCTGTGAGCTCAGGACGCTCTGGGCAGAAAGACATACTCCCTAGGACAAAAACAGGGAAGAGGAGACCTGGCAATGCCCATCCCCAGTCCAAGGAACAAGGCTCCTTCCTCCAAGGTCATCTCACCTAGATATTTCTCTACCAGGTCATCTCAGCTCAATCTTGATAACCCCTTGAAAGCCCTGGCCCATCTGTTCCTTCACTGTACGGTTTCTGTAAGAAAGTGTTAATCCATGTTAATCTGTGTGGGGATTATTGCGTGCAACAGTATTTTCTCGTGTACCTCTTTTTCCTCTGTGATGTGTCTCTTTATTTATAAATGTCTACTTTTTTTTTTTTTAAAGGACAAACCAGTGTGTCGTAGACCTCTATGTAACCTATCCCTTAGTCTCATTATAGGTATGTTATAAGGATGGATATTTTACTTGGCTTTAGAATGTTTTTCAAGAAAACTAATTCTTAACTGATGAAGTTGTTGCTACTAAAATGCTCGTTTTCATCATGACGTCGTGCGCTTCTAAATTAATCATCATTTTCGTTGTAGAAAAATGGAGTGAATTTATATTAGTCTTGGAAACTAATAATAGCATTGTAAATTTATGAGATGATTTTAACAGAAAAATTATAGAAGAATAGAGTTATTTTAATTGTAATATTACTAACTGTAGGGTGAGGAAGGGGTCCTGTTGTGGTGAACTCTGTTATAGCTTGTTACTCAGTTTCTTTTTGATCATATTTTCAGTCTCTGAGGTGAAGCGAGTTATTAATGGGATCTGTAAACTCACATATGCATATTGTATATGTGTAGAGATGTGATCACACTGTCTTGGAATTACATTAAACTGTTTGGAATCACTGTACTCTGCCCAGCAGCTTTCTTATCCAGAGCCTCACTAGAGGGCACTGTTGCAAGAAAGTTCTTCAGCCTTTCTTCCAGAGACTGCTCGCTGTCCCGAAAGGATTCACAGCCCACCCTCACATTGAAACTAGAGATGGCCGCATGGCTGGAGCGAGGTGGGCGCTGTGCTCATTGCCTGTACTGCATATCCTGGATCCTGCTTCCCTTCCTGACCACATCCGTGCCTACATTCCTTCCAGATGTGCATTCTGCTGCTTCACCCTGAACTCCACAGACAGCCTCAGTGTGTCAGCTCCACTGCCAGGGCTGCCATTTCTACTGGAGAGTGCTGCCATTTCTACTAGAGCGCGCGCGCGCGCGCGCGCGCACGCACACACACACACACACACACACACACACACAAGCTCAGGGAGCCTAGAAGGTGCCAGATCCTCCCCTAGTCCCAGCTCCTGGCTTCAGTGGTCTCCTTTGTTTTGCCACATACCTACAAAGTTTGCCATTCCCTTCTCTAGCCGCCAGACACTCGGACTTGACAATGGTCTGTTCCGTGTACTTCATACACATACAGTCCTTCATTATTTGTCCTTTTATTCCTGGTTTATTTTGATGTTTTTAGGTTCATTTATGTTACAGCATGGATCAGAATTTCTTTTTGCACATCGACTAGTATTCCATTATAGGAACATACCACATTTTGTATGAACATCTGCCCTGCCCTTATGGCACACCACTGTGAACTTTGGTGAGCAAAATTCTCTTCAAACCCCTGCTTTTGATCCTTTCAGATATGTCTTATAGAGGTGGAATTACTGGATCATATGACAATTTCATGGAAACTTGTGGAGAACCATCACAGTGTCCCAGGGCGACTCACTGTGCATCCTTTCCCATCCTCAGTGTACGGTTCCATGCTCTCCCCAGCACTCTTGTCCATCCTCAGGATCTCCTGCCTCCTCTTCTTACATGCTTCCAATTCACCCTAAACACTGTGGCCCCTTGACTGACTTCCTCCACCTTCTCACCATGACTTCTGCAGCCCTTGCTTCCCCCACCTGTCATGCTTCCACTAAGCCATCCAACTGCTCAGCTCCTGAGATCTGCTGGAGCAGACCCCTGGCCCTGCAGACCCCTGGTCCTCCATACAGACCCCTGACCCAGCAGACCCCTGACCCAGCAGACCCCTGGTCCTCCATATAGACCACTGACCCAGCAGACCCCTGACCCTGCAGAACCTGACCTATAGATCACTGACACAGCAGACCCCTGACCCCACAGATGACTGATCCCACAGATCACTGACCAGCAGACCCCTGATCCCATAGATCACTGGCCCTATAGACCATTGAACTAGCAAGCCCTTAACCAAGAAACCCCCAACCTCTTCAGCCATGCAGATGGCCTGTGGCTCTGGCCAGGCCCCTATACTCACAGACTCCTGTGACTGATGAGAAGCGTTCCCCTTTCCACTGTCTTACTTCCTTAGATTCCTACTCCAGAGTAACCAGAGAAACCTACAACTTCCTTAACTCCAGTTCCTCTCCAACTCCTGAAGTCAGTCTCACAGCTGCCTTCCCTTCTGTGTCCTGGTCACTCAGCCAGAGGCTGCAGCCCTGTACTGCCCCGCAGCAACCCAGCCTCCACCCTGTAGAAGCCAATCAGTGGATCCCAACCTGCCTGCAGTATGGAGACTATCCCCACCACTCATTTATTATTGATTGATTGATTGGAGGGTACTTGGGTTTGAACACAGGCCCTGAGCATGTTAGACAATCACTCTACTAAGTACATCCCCAACCCTTATTTGTTTGTTTGTTTGTTTGTTTGTTTGTTTATTTATTTGAACATTGAGAAAGCATCTTGCTAATTTACTCAAGCTGACCTCAAACTCACTATGGAGCTCAACCAGGCCTCAAACTTGTGATCCAAGCTGCCCCAGCTTCCCAAGTAGCTGGGATGACAGGCATATGCCACCAGGCTTGGCTCACCTTTCTTAACTATTTGTCCCACTTAAACTCATAAAGGAATGCCATAAAGGATATCTTCTCTGAGGACACTACATCTGATGGCACTTCTAAAACAATGCTGGACTCCAGATCCCCTTAAAGACACTTGACATCCTCATGTGTCTTTTATATTCTGCTTCAGTGGTACCTTGGGTTTTGCGGCGGCAGCTCTCTCAAAATCTTTACCCATGGACCAGGAGTGCTCGTGAGAGAAATGCTTGAGTCTTGACAGGTAGAAGGCCAGAGGCAGAGGGAAAATACTGATGCCAGGAGGCAGCCTCTCTGAGTGGGGGAAAGACAGCCACCAGCCACTGAGGCATGGACAGCAGGCTGTGTGGTTGGTCCCAGTCAGGTTCAACTCCAGGAGCTCTCATTTTATCCCTGGGAACTCTGGGGCCTCAATATGTGACCTTGGAATAAAGTGCCATGTGCAGACTGGCCAGACAACCCCCCCCCCAAACTTTTTCATTGTGTCGAGCCATTAAGTATTGGTTCATTGTTTCTGTTGAGACTATTTCAATATAGAAATCAGTTCCTGAAAGGGACTATCTTCTACAATAAAAAAATCTAAAAAGGGCCACTGAGATGGTTCAGTGGGTAAATGGTGCCAAGGCCAAGGGCCTAGGTTGATCCCAGACCCACACGTGAAAGGAGAGAACTGGTTCCTACCGCCCTCTGACCTCAACAAGCACACCATGGTACATGTGCTCAGCACACACACACTAAATGTAATAATGTTTTTGAAACATGAAATGTGTGGCATTGGCTTGGAAGGTGAAGAGAAAAATAAAGAAATGGATTTCAGGGCTAAAAATATTGTGGTCCAGGTGAGGCTTGAATAAAATCTGGACCAAGAGGAAACCCTGGAAAACTGAAGCCAAATGGCTCCCCAGTTCCAGGCAGGGTGAGAGGGAAAGCTAGAACGTTAGCTGTGGAAGCTGGCGCCATCACCTTGCAGCAAGGTTTCATGCATTTTCCTTCTTTTGTTGTTTTGTTTTCTTTTTGGTTTCTTGAGACAGGGTTTCTCCATGTAGCCCTGGCTATCCTGGAACTCACTCTGTAGACCAGGCTGTCCTCGAACTCACAGAGATCTGACTGCCTCTGCCTCCCAAGTGCTGGGATTAAAGGTGTGCACCACCACCCAGCAAAGTTACTTTGTTTTTTATTTTATTTTTGTTGCTGTTGCTGTTTTTTAATTTTTATTTATTCTTCTCAGCAAGGTTTTGTAAGAGGTGAAATGAAGCGGGAATCAGACAGGCATGATGTTGAATGCCTTTAATCCCAGCACTATGGAGGCAGAGGTGGACAATCTCTCTGGGCACAAGGCCAGCCTGGTCTACAGAGCGAGGCCTGAGAGGAGGGCAGGGACACTCCTCTGTTTGAAAACAAGCAAAAGAAAATGAAATTCAAACTGTGAAAGACGGTAGAAGAAAAAAAATTTCAACAGGGAAAAGAAGGTGGGCGTGGCCCACACAACCCAGCACTCAGGAAGCTGAGGCAAGAGCACCAAGAGTTCAAGGCCAGCCTGGGCTACACAAGACCCTGGAGAGGATGCAAAAAGGAGGCTGGGAGAAAGGGCGGGGAGGGGGCGGGGCTATCAACAAAACAAGCAAAATGTCAACTGAACAATGAACTGGGCCTCCAGCAAATGTCAAGATTGCAGAATGGCCACCCAAATACATATTATCTCCAATTCCTCGAAGACTGTACCAATAGGTTAACAGGAAAACATGGGCAGAGCCAATAAAGAAGAAAAAGAAATTAGGCAGCCGTGAAAACCTGGGAAGGACTTTGATAGGGTGCAGATGATCAAAAGTATACTGAATGTCTGAGGAAACAATGTTGCCCTGCAAACCTCCCCTGACACTACAGTCTAGGAATGCTTCCTGCTGTTTGCTTCGGCTCCCAGGGCCCTCGGACGGGTCCTAGGCCAGCAGAAGACAGAGCTGGGCAGCCTACACACCAGGCTTGGAGAGCCCCCAAGGGGTAGGGAACTCAGCATGCCAACCGGGCCACACTTCCTAATCCCTGCCGAGTAGTGCCACGCCCTAATGGCCAAACACTCAAACCTATGAGCCTCTGAGGGCCATTCCTATTCAGATCACCACAGCTCCTCTGGAATTTAGAGTTGTTACAGGCAGCTGTGAGCCTCCGTGTAGATGCTGGCACCCCTCCGCAAGAGTCTAAGTGTTTTGACCACTAAGCCATCTCTCCAGCCTGGTGAGCACTGAGTAAGTAAGAGGTGAAAGGTTCCCCTCTGAACCCTCCAGCCCTGCCAGAGACTTTGATGGCCAAGCACAGGTTAGAGCAAGACACCGCCAGGTGCCTGGCAGTGGCCCTTTACCACACTAACAAGTAGAGGGGCACCCCCAAAATTCCCTAACCACTTTGTCCTCCATCCCCCTCTCCCACTGACTTCCCCTGAAGAATATCTAGAAAGCATGTAGAAAAGTTAACAGAAATGAGTAGTTTTGTCCAAAAAGTACACTCAAAAGGAGCGGACAGGACCCCAGGAGTGGGCCCTATCTTGCCTCTGAGGAATTTTCTGAAAATGGGCCAGGATTCAAATGCAAGACTCAGCAGCCCCCAGGCAGCCAGCCACCCCACACTTGGTTGCAGACACCAGCAGAAGTCAGATCAGGTTCCACTGCAGGCTGCATGGAGCTCCCCTCCTGTCCCTTACCAGGCAAACCTGCATGCCTAAGAGCAGAAGACCCTCAAGGCTCAGATCCAGCCCGACATGAACATCCTCCCCCAACCAGAATAAGCCATTCTTCTACAATGTTCCAGAACATTCTAGTGCTTTCTAGTTCCTCTTCTCCCTATATGTTCCCTGGGGCATAAAGACACAGACTCCCACATACCTAGCATGGTGTCTGTCAACTGGTAGGTGTCTTAGGGTTTCTGTTGCTGTGATGAAACACCATGACCAAAAGCAACTTGGGGAGGGTTTATTTTCCTTACTCTTGCACATCACAGTTCATCACTGAAGGAAGTC